AATTGTAGTATTAAAGTCTTAATTAGTTTTTTAAAAATAAAATCAAAATCTATTGTATTTAAAAAAAAAAAAAAAAACTCATTCACACTAACATGTGATTCTTGTTGTAAAAAAAAAAAATGTTGTTATATAAAATAATCTTGCATTTAAATATAAAAAGAAAATTTAGCCTCAACAAAAGTGGTTTGTGAGACAAAAGTGAGGGGAGTAGAAAAGGAACTTTGACGATGAAGTTGGAGAGATATGCTAGGTGAAAGATTATAAGGACAAAAAAATGCATTAATTAACAAAGAAAGTAAAGGGCATACATGGTATTCAACTTTGATAAGTTGTTAAAAGATAAAAAGAAAAAAAAAAAAAAGATTCCACAACTTTTTGATGTTGAAGTGCCTTGTGAGACCAAAACTAGGAGTCAGAAAGATAAGGAGCCTTTAGTAAAACTTGTGACTTGTGCGAGAACCAAATAAGATAAGGGGGAGATAGGAAGAAAAAGTGAATGATGAGAGAGATAGAAATGAGGGACCAAATAAGAGAGAGATAAGAAGAAAAACTAAGTGATGAGAGAAATAAGAAGAAGGGAGGGCTCAAGTTCTTTATTTTTATATTATTATTATTTAGATAGACTACTATTATTAAATTCACTAGTAGGTTATTGAGATGTATTTGTTTTCTAAAAGAAGAAAAAAATTATTATTAAAAATAGATAATAACATAAAATATATATAAATAATTTATAGATGTTTTGATAAATTTAAGGGATCTTTTAATGATAAAAATATATAAAACTAAAATTATTTTACCTAATCTAGTTTATTTGATTAAATTTAACCCCAATGAGGTGGTTCAATTGTTAAAAACTTGAAATTTCAAGTTAGAGATCTCAAGTTTGAACCTTGACTTGAGCAGGGAGGGATTTAGGTAAAGATGAGGGTTATCCGCTCTTGTATAATATATTCAGATGTACAATAAAAAAGTTTATTTGATTAAATTCAAACAAATATGTAAAGTAAAAAAATAAATATTACAGAAATAGCTTCAAAAGAATAAAGATTAAAAAAAATTCCATACAAATCGAAAA